AAAATCGGCCGTTTTTCGTGGGTATATGTTATTACTTATTATTAAAGGGAGAAGTGCAGCAGTGCAGGTGTGTCGTGTACATTGTGATTTGTTATGAGCTCATGGCATAGTTTTCAACGGAATTATAAAACGATTTAAAGCGCTCAATTTATTTTTTTTTCAATGTTGTCATAATGCTATTTACATATTTAATGACATTTATCGAATGATTGAGCACAATAACAACTATTTGCCTAAATTAATATCGAAAATTACTATTTTAATTAATTACAATTTTCAATTTTATTAAAATATTTAGAATACAAAGCAATTGGCTTACTAGGGACTAAAATTTAGTTAACTCATTATGTATTATCTTATTGCCTATTTGTCCTATTTATAATTCCATATTTGTTTACAGGATTTATGACAATGACTCAAACGTCGTTCGACACCCGTCAATGTTTGCAGAATTATTTTAAAAGTAAAAAGCAGACATACGAGCGATCGTCGTTTACTCAATTATTTGTACTGATCAGCTGTAGCCTGAGAGTGTACTTACACGCCTACCTTTTTTTTTCTTTTTTTTTTCGTGTTATCGAGAACCAGAGGGGGACCGCGTTAGCATTACTTCCCCTAAACTTACACGCCTACCTATCACAAATAGTCCTTATTTACTCCTCGATATATAAACCATATTGCGGAAAAACGTAATTAAAAAGCCGTGATCAACTGCAGTCATTAATAATAATTGTTTACTGCACAATATGGATAATATTATGTATGATACATCGAACAATATATTTGAAGAATAATTTAATACGTTGATAGGGGATGTAGTAAGTTAAGTGCATTATTTTATTCATTTAAATATTTAAGCTTTATTTTTAAAAAAAAATGTGAAATTCACATCCTCCTATAATCCAACTAAATCTCCGCCCATGTTGTTTCATGTTTGTCACTTGTATATCATAATATTATAGTTTTGCGGGTGTGTCGTGTATGTAGTTGTGTTTAAAAACTAATTTTATAGAAATAAAAATAACCACGATCCTAAAAATGATTTTAAACGAATCCCGAAGGTCGAACCAAAGAGCTCGTTTACTGATTTTCTATTGGCTCTTGGTAAAGTATACGCGTTTTTTAAGACTATATGTTGGAAAATGTAAAAAAAGACCCATTCAAAATACCACCCACGCTAGGTTTCCGATCTTTAGTAGGCATGGTACATGAAACTTTTCGTTGAAAAAAAAACTCAAGACTTTACAGTACAAAAAGAACAACAGAATCGAAGGAATAATTAAACGTGATAACAACTAATATTAACTTACAGTGCAATAAATCCGTCAAAATTCATCATTGTTGTCGTTTGGCATTACATGTACAACATATGGCATACACATATAGTATATTTTTAGATTTAAATCTACACAACTTCCTGCAGTGCACAGTTCGGTTTTCGATTTTTTTACCCTACTGCGGTGCGTAGGTACGTAAGAGTAAGTCGTCGCGAAAACGCGTGCATGTATATAATATATATTATGATATTGTTGTACCCGAGTTTAATATCGCCATCAAATATTTATAAGCCGTGCATAAAATGTTTGGTTTTTTTTTTCGCCCGCAAAATGTTTACGGACGCGTGATAGAAATACTACCTATATATTTTGTTTGTATCCAGCGCAGTGTACATAATATATATTATATGTTATGGTACATATACATGCGTTCCGACGCTAAATTAAATTTTCCATTTTTTTTTTTTTTTCGTACCAAGTTTACGCGTGTGTTCATAAAAATGTCGTATACCTTTCGGACGCCATCGGGGCGGTAAACCGAGCAAAAACCAGAGGCTATATCCATAGATTAGATACCTGGGTATAGGTATATAATAAATGTTACATCGGAGACGAACCGGGAGGGGCGAACGACGCGGTTTATTTCTTCATTCGTTTTACAAATATCCACGGCTGCCTCGCTCGCACGACGTCTAAAACGACAGCGCCTCGATGTAACGTCTACATAGCAAGCAGCAAGATAATAGAGATAATGGAGCACTCTCCTAACCATTTGATTAGTAATTGAATAATAATTATTATTATGGTTGCCTAGGTTATTAGTTACTACTAATAACACAATAACCACGTGAAATTACACCGTCTAAAATAATGGTCCATACATCACTGTTTACAGTTAGTACACCTATATTATACCGTATTTTTGCAATCATTCCAAATGTATAGTTATGATGTCCAGACAATAAGAACGGCGGCGCAAATTAAAAACAATCGGTAACGTTTGTACAGACGACGATCCCGTGGCGTATAATATAAAAGCACTTATCCTAATTAAACGGCATATAATCTCTTTTAAATAACGTATAATTTTACCGTCATCGTCCTGCCCCCCAGTCGCGCATCGTCGACCAGGTGGTAATTACGACGAAACTTCACGTCCCCTCCTCCCAACGTCTCCCCAGTGCGACATCGGCTAGCGACAATTATAAGTATAAACGGTCACTTTGCATGCATTCATACACAATACGCACGCACCTATAGGCATATAACATGTGCAATAGGGTTGTAATAACATTCTTTGTCGCTCGGATTTTATTCGAAACGGGAGCACACCAAAATAGTATATTAATTATTGTTAAATTTGTTTGCTTGGAACTTAATACTTAGTAAAACAAAAATTCCAAAAAGATAGTAGGTAGGTACATATATATAAGTATACTGTAATCATGCGTTGTATATAATAGGTACATGCAAAAAATATAATAATACAGTTTACAACAGGGTCGTTTTGAAATGCGCCAAACCAAAACACCGCAAGCCTAATATAAGAAACAACAAAGTAAATAACTGATGGTTCGAGAAGCGTGATCAAAAAAGGTGTAGAAGGCGCAGGTCACGTTTGATAACGGGTACTTATTATTTATTAATTTGAGTTACCAGTCTAAGACAGTATTCAGTGATTTATTAGTGGTTAAAAGTGCGCCTACGCATGAATGAGAAACACGGGGACGCAGAGAAAATAAGTTGTGCGGAAGTTATAGCGAACGAAAAGAAATAAAGAAAAAGCTGACAAATTTATCGATCAGACTCGCGCACATGTATCGTATCACACGCGTGTAATATCGAAAAATGAGCTCAAGTTACGCCAAAAAATCAGCATATTTAAACAGATCGGTGAAATATGTAGGTTCACATTCGACGATTTTAATACGTAATCGGCTACACTTTCGCGCTCCCTTGCCGCACGCATGCATAATATGTACATAATATATATATGTGCACTTGTAAAATATTTAAATGACTTATAAGTCGGCTTCGTGGAAATCCTCTGAGGCGCCACGCTTTTACGGGAATTGAATTGCCCGTCCGTTTTGCGTTCCGATGATACGTGTACAAAAAAAAAAACACGACAAATCGCGATTTTCTCGTTTCGAAATAAATGACTACGCGATTTACTATACCGGTGTCGATATAACAGGCATATTTTACACGGAGTGAAATGACCTTAGATTTTCAAGTCCCAACAGCATATGCTTATACGGTACCTAGGTATATAATATACATTATATACTCTGGTGACGTATCTAAGCTCAGTCAGAAAGGAGGATATTCTATGGTGTTTAACGCAATGTTTTTGATGCTTATGTATGGCTCCCCATCCACGCACGAATTAACTCCTTGAATTTTAAGTAAAATTAATTTTTCATTTTATTTAATTTTCATTTCACAGTTGTGATATTATTATCGATATAGTTAGTAAATACATGAAAAAAAGTTCCAATTTCAAAAGGATGCCATCGACATCCTAATGGGTTGAAGCATCAAATGTATACAGGGTGATTCACCAAGCATCCTCACCCACTGTTTTCTTAAATAATGCAGTTATTCAAATTTTGATTTATCTTCAGAATTTTTGTACTACTTAAGGAGTGTTTTGTGGAGATACAATAACTTCTGTTTTTTAAATGAAAACCCCTCTATTCAACTATAAATTATACAGTAGATAATTTTTCTGAAAATTTTAAAGTTTCAAAATCAAAATACGTACCGAGTAGTTTTTAAGTTGTTTAACTTTGAGTTCTAAGGATAAAAGGTCCATGGTAATGAGTTTATAAGATATGAGGGTTATGGTGATTTGAAAATTGTAGTCATTAATATTAATCCATCGATATTAAAAATTTGTAAAAATGGACCAAGTATAATAAGTATTAGATCCCATTTTATATTTATGTAAAAACCTGTTTAAGGGACTATTATCCTTAATACAAACATTTTAATAACTAAGAAACTGCTCATTAAAATTTTGAATGTAGGACATCAAAATTTCAAAAAAATATCCATTAATTAACTTACAGTAAAATAGGGAGGAGGGGACTCACATTTCAAAAACAGAAGTTTATATCACCACATGACACTCCTTAAGTAGTACAAAAAAATTCAAGAATTTAAATATTAAATTTAAATTCATTATTATAGGAAATAATGAGGGTAAGCATGTTTTGTGAATCACCCGGTATACTCCATCTACCCACATTAGACTCGTCTCGAATAACACGAAATGACCTATAACATTTGTTATATCGTACGCATAAGGCACTATTATAATAGGTACTCACCTATAAAGATAAAAAAAAATACCTGTACAATAGGTAGTGCATATTTCTGGTATAATCTAAATTTCTACGGTATAGATAGTGGGTGATAGTTAAAGGTGGTGATTGCTAAAGGAGGATCCTCGATTAATGTACTTTTAACATGCAATATAAGTTATAATATAATAGGTTTAGTTATATGAAATAACCTATTAGTTAATTGTTTCGTATACGTAACTTTTTACTTTGATCTCGAAACGATTAATTTATAATACCTAAATGCATTTTATACGTATTTCTTATACATATTATGTAAAATATAATGCATGTAGTAGATATGCGATGTACGTACCTATACTATATATACACGATGAGAGATGAATTTATGTTCGTAAATAATTAAAACTGTAGCTGCGGGGTCTTAATATAAAAGTACTGATTTACTAATACACTTAATTGTGAAAACAGGATAGTAAAAAATATATCTTAAAACACAATATTATACAATATGATGTATCCGTTAACTTATAAAATAATATTAGATGTTAAAAAAATAAATTATATAATACTTAATACAATTATAAGATTTTATAAAAATCAGATCTTCGGTTGAGCAGTATTGTAAAAAAAAAAATTACGCCTCCATGAGCAGGGTTTTGACTGTTTTCGATGTAGAAGGGTCGTTCAGATGAGCTGTAGTGTACCTATGCAAAGAAAATAAGCAGACGGTTATCAACAGACTCATCATTATTTTTGTCATAGAGGTATAGCGCCTCGGTCCCAAGCTTCTGACACCCCCCCCCCCCCCCCAACAACAACATGACTCATTACCTCAGTGCGTTCAACAGGTTTTCAGTCTGAAATTCCTCCGGCTGGTCTTTGAGCAGCCTTACGCAACCTTTAATGTCTATATTGGAAGTCTTGACGAACGCTCCGTTTGGGTGCACGTGGTCATATAGTATGATGAGGCCGACTAATACGCGAAGCATGAAAAGGTGGGTTTCCTGTTTTCTGAACTGAACCGTACTGTAGAACACACACAGTTTTATTAATAACATGTTATGTGCATGCACATTGCGATTATATAACAATGGTATCAAGGAAGTAAATATGACTTACGGTGTTTCCAACATGCGTATACACACTTTTACCATGGTACTCAACATATCAATGGCATAGTCAACGAGCCGTTTATCCTGGAAATAAAGAAAAAAAATGTCAACTGTTGATGTGAAAAGCAAATACTTGATTGGAATGGATTGGAATAGGTATAGCTGAAATGACAAACCGTCACAACGAATTACGAAGAAAATTTAGAACAGCAAAAAAAATGTTTGGTGAAAATAATACATATATTATACATAGTGCTAGATAATAAAATAATAATTCATAGTTCGTTTTATTCTAGGTTATCCCGATGATACTTTGCATTGTGTGTCGGTAAAATGTCAGATTGCATAATGCAAAACATCTTAACTCCTGTATAATATAATATAGTAGGTAACAGTAAGTAGTTACTTTGTTCAAAAATTGTGAAGTAACGTTTGACAGTGTTCTCAACATTGGCGTTGCTTCTGCGTAGAACAAGGACACTTTGTTGGCGACGTTCAAGTTGCTGTTAGAATCTTCATCTTGGTCCGTGAACGAATGCACTGATGCGCCTTCACGCATCAACACTCGTCTGTAATAGCTAAAGTCGTTTTGAATTGCTGGAGTTCGCATCTGAAATTTGAAAACAATGAAATTGCTCAAGCAACTTTTAATAAAGTTTTCCGACGAAACGCTGCCAACGACAGTACACCTACCTTGTATTCATCGAACTTCAACACAAACTCAATGATCTCGGAAAATTGTTTAACTAGAGCTTGTTGATTTTCTAGGTGTAAAGATGGGGTTATATCATCTGAACATATTTCAGTTAGAATTTGAGGTACAACGAAAGCTGGAAACAAAAACAAAGAGTGTTTTAATTAACTTCTTACGGAATTTATAAAAGAGTGATCTCTCAATATGCGGTTTCACTAAAAAAAATATGTGGTTTACCAATGAACAGTGGTCTACAATGAAAATGTCATTAAATTTAATGATTTTGCATGAATTAAATAATTATTAAAATAAAACTGAAATAATATGAATTAAAATCATTTTTATAATTGTTATATATTAATTAATAATAACTGTGCAATTTAATAAGTAATTCGTCAGTTAATAATATATATAAACAATTATTTTACAAACATTTTTAGAAGTAAATTAACTAGGTGGAGTAACTCACTATAATAAACAACAAACGAGTAACGACACTAAACTAACTAAACTGTAGTTACCTATAATAATATTATTCTATAACATTAACAAATAGTAGATATAAAGATATAATGTATTAAGTGGTTTCAAATAATACGATTATCATAATGATGTGGATAACCTAAATTTATTAGAACACAATACATTGTTAGATCGGAAGCTATACTCATATTAATTATAGTTTGGTGGTACACAAAACGACGGTATACCGCATTCTGGGAGGTAGCCCAACAAATAATACAGTATCGTTAAAACATAAAAATAATTCTAATGACATTTACGTTAATGGTGATTGCATTGTAAATATTATTATTTATCTTTTTTAAACTTAACTATAGATAAATATAGTAATAAGTATTTAGGTAAGTATTTTTATGAAATGTAGGTGCATTAAATAATTTTAATTTTAATTGATTATAAAATTTAAAACATTTTTAAATCAATATTTTGAAACAACAACATTTTTTTTAAATTTTTTGAAAACAAAAATTGTATTAATTTTGTAAAAAATTTGGAAAGCCGGTCTGCTGTATAGTAGGCGTCGAGTGCATCTCGTTATTGAATAGGTGAGTAACTGTAATGGATATGTTAAATTTAATGTAAATAACTGCATACGAGAAGACTAGCGAAGACGGTCAGCCCTAATTTATTGCAAAATATATTTATAAAGACATTAGTAATTTATTGTACTAGCTATTAGTATAATACGATAGTTTGAATTAATATTGTAAAAAAATAAAGTTTTTTTTATTATATAATTGTCATAAATAATATTATATATTTGAATAACATGTATTTTTATTAACTTGAATAGCTTCACTCAGGATTATGAGCCTATAATTGCATCAGAATTCAAAACAATTGCAGAACCACTACCATTCATGAATCATTTATAAAATTTATATTTGTTATAGGTACCTATATTAGTGTCGACTATCGATTATTATAAGCAATTATCATAATAAACTATGAACAAATATTATAATTTGATTTTTCGTTTAGTTAATATAAAACTTACCTATTTTTTGTGAGAAAAAATAGAATCGTCTCAAAGTGCGGATTCGAGGCATCAACGCTTCCCATGTCAATGCATTTTGTTCGGCACTTGGATTATTAATCGCTGCTCGTATGTATTGGTCAGCACCCGAGTAATGTTTGAGGTCGGAAAGCACGTCAGATGCCTCGGTAAGCACGATTTGGACCTCGTCAAATAGTTGCATTTCACTTTCGGTAGGTTGGGCATCTAAAATTTTAAATTAAATGAAACATTCATTTGTTCTAATTTATAAATGTCATCGGTCAAAGTTGATCACATAATTGGTTTGATAATAATACTACTACTAGGTACTACTAATAAAAAAAACATTAGTGCGATACACGTTTATCAAATATAATGCAGACATGACGTAAATGATGCGAAGTTTGTTAAAATAATTTATACCTAAGTTATAATTATTATTAGCAACGATTGTTCAATATTCATACATTACAATAGTATAATAATGACTATTAACATATTATGTTTAAAAAAACCACCAACAACCTGAATCACTTAAATGAGTCATATAACGTAATAAAGAAAGTCTGTAACACATATTATAACGTCATCCAATAGTTTTGGTGAAATCATTTTTGCTGGCTGATCTTATTAAATAAAATATTTTGAAGCCAATGTGCTATACAAATATTATCAAATGCAATTCTTTATTCTTATAAAATGAATAAAAATACTCGACATCTACGCGAAAAATTGAATTTTAAGTTGTTAAATTATTGTATTATTATGTTACATAATATCGTAATTAAGAGGACGCCTTATTATATAATTATGATAGTACATTAGATAAAAATGCTAGTTTCGAAATTACGATAATGCTGTAAGTACCTAAGGATACATTTAACTTAACTTAATTTAAATATCTATAGAAAGTTACATGTCAGTTTCTTAACGGAAGTGGTTTTAAAAAAATATTATGCCTCATATTATGTGAACAAAAACTTGTAAAATTTTAATAAAATTATTATTATATGGATGTTGATATTTGATAATAGGTAAATATATTACCTTAATGGAGTAATTTAGATAATTAATTTTTATGAACAAATTTACATATTTCGTGAAAATATTTGTTCAGCATAGCTACTTTCTATAGGTCTTAGGTCATATGATAATATTTCTCAAATAAGCCACTATATAAATAATGGAATATTGAATAATCACCTCAATAATTATAAGAAGAAAATGAACAAAAATTTCAATATATACTAAATAAATACACAGATCATATGTTATATGAAATACCAATAATACCATATTAGTTTAACGAGTATCTACGATTATTTATAGTATTTTTAATTCGTATATACAAAACTGAAACGCTATAGAGCGCTTCTGACATAATTTAAAAAATTCATTACAACAATATTATAATAACAATTATATATTATAATAATCTACGGAAAATTGTTTCTAAATAATTATGTTCTTTTGTATTCATTATGTTTCAGCATAAAAATCAAAATAAACCGTGACAATACTTCTAAGTCTCGATTTAAAAACTAACTAAAGGGGAAAAAAACGTTTACTAATATATGCAGAGAATTTAAATAAAGTTTGTAACAACTCTTTTAAGAGGTACCTAATGAAAGTCCATTTTGAACATTTTATTTGATGTCAAAACTTTACGTTTTACAGTATTTAAAAGTTTAAATTATTTAAGCACTTCAACAGTTCAAACTACTTTTTAAGTTGATTTTTAATAATAATGTAACATTAGAGGACTAATTAATTATGCATTTTTAAGTAGATATAGTTCTGAGGAGTTAAAACATCAGTAGAAAAGTAATAATAGTTTTCGAACTATTAGTTTTGAATTGGCTGGCGACGAGTGCACAAGACATATTTAGAAAATAAAATCATGTAACATAAATTTATTAAGGGCATTTTTCCATCAGATTATCAACGACGTTTCTATTCGAATATATGAACGATAATACATGACATTGTTTCTTTGCCATCGTATAATATAAAGGTACATATAAAAGGAAAATAATTCATAACGTCATGACATACCTTCAAAAAAATTTCAAATTAGATTTGTTAGTAGATTCTATTTTTTCAAACATTTTTCTAGAGTCATTCCAGTAAGTTTGAATTTATTTATGGTTTTATTTTTCCAAGCATCCGAAGGGAGACACAACGGTTTAGAATCGAGAATCGATTCATAGCAATTTGTTTTTATATAAGATTAAAAATCATAATTATCATCAATTACAGCAGGGCGGTTTTCTACATAGAAAACGTTCAAATTATAACAACATTTTAAAAATAATAAGTAACAGGTAGATAATATATTATGTACTTACTTTCGAAATCCAAAAAAATGTCGTATTTCTGTTGAGCAGAGCAGCAACTATTCTCGTCTCGAGCTAACAGGCTCAATAGTTTTCCCATTATTGAAGGCCGACAGCAGCAGGCTAAGTTCATCAACGGTTCCAGCACTAGTCAAATACTCTGCGAAAACATTTTTATTATACTGTTAGTAAAGTTTGCAGCCCTAAACTATTCTTGAAGAAGAAAAAAACAAACTCTTATTCGGAAATCGGCGAACCGATAAACATCTTGTTAAAAGGAAGCCGAGGTTTTTGGGAAACAGAGTAGAAGAAACTGTTTGCGAACAAAAGTTATCGTAAATCATGGCTGGAATAGATTATTTAAACGAGACGACGTTCCACGGTATTATTCTTTTATGTACAGTACATAAGTCATAAGTATTTTTTACAAGTGTTTCTCATTGACAAAGACCATACCCACGACACGGTGGTTAGACGCAATGAAAAATGCACATATCCTGTTTTTTTCTTAATTTAAATTATGATTTTATACTACTTATATTATACCTAAATTTAAAAGTTACATTTTTAACTACAATTCAAAACTCAGACGATATTATGGAGTAAACACGTTAATAGCATTTATAGAATATGAATAAATGATTTTAAAAGTGTAGTAGATGCCTATAATATAATATACATTATGCATATTATATACAGACATACAGTGTACAGCAGTACAAACGTACAGTAAATATATGAGAGCGTGATTGCGTGTACAACGTGCATTAGGCATACCTATATCGATAGTAATTTACTTAACCATTTTACGATTCGATAGGAAAAAGGTTTAATTAGTTTCTGTTGAATTTTCAACGAACATAAAGTTGCTCGACTTAGATTGATTGAAATTTGTAAATCGATTTGCATACAAGCACATCAAATAGCAGCCATTAATTACGATTCAATTTGATTTCTTCGAAATCGATCTCATTACCAATATATTATTATACAAGCACATTAAGTTCCGTTTAATTATAATTTACAGCCGCCGGGTGAGAATTAAAGTTTTTATCTCACTGACAAAGACAAATCTCGCAGCAGATATGGAGGTAGGTACCTCCTATCGTATATTATTATATATTTCGTACATACGTGTCTTGACAACATATACAAATAGGCATTTATATACATTATACGTATATTATATGATATACCAACACGTTAAGCGCTCGCGCACACACACCATTTAGACATTCTTAGTGTAGGAACAATATCGGAAATAATAAACCCCCGAGCTTTAAACAAAGTACTTACCCGAGTTTTATCGCCCAAAAGCCCAATTACGGAGAGACAACTTTTCGTCAAGTAAATTTCTATACAAACCGAACACGGTGTAGGCAAAAGCACGGCAAGACGCATATGGCGTATACCCAGATACAGAGCAGGAGGTAGGTGTAAACACGTCATCTATAATACATACAGAAAAATTATTCGCGACGACTCCGAATGAAAAAAAAAAAATCCATAAACTAAACTATAGGTCCATGTTGCACAACTTAATACGGCATAATCGTGTATGTGCTCATATGTGTATGTGTTCCGTGTACCGTGTGAGTGTGTGTGACGTAAGTGCGTGCGTATAATTCGCGTAAGCTCAAACCAAGTTGTATCTCGGCCGGGTGGCTCGCACGGTAATATAAATGTAAATAGACACGGCGTATATAACATGTATATTGTATTCTATACATCGTAATGTGTTATTTTTTAAATAGTAGATTTTCACAGACGTAATATTTTCGTATCACGTATCGACCGCAAAATCAATGTACTTTATTATGTACCTATTAGAGGCTAATAGTGTCAACATACAGCGCTACACATTACTACCTATTTACAATCGACGAATTCAATACAAAGCAAATATTCAATAAATTGTACTGCCTATATTTCATAATAAACGTGCGTCGTGTTTTACACCGATAAAATTGAACTGTAGAATTACGCATGATAAAATAACTGTTCAGAGGATGTCAGTACACTATTTGTTTTCTCTATCCTGCCCACATGCAACATAGAAAATTTCCGTTCAGAAGATCCAATTGTGTTGTTAGCTTTAATATTAGAGTGAATACTGAATTAACCTATTGTAAAACTCAAAAGTAAAATCATCACCTAAGACGCATTATAGTTTCTTATTGATATAATATTTGATTTAAACGTGAGTTATAGTTAGTACAGTTATAATTATGTAAAATGCTACAGTTTTAAAATTCAAGCTGCATAATTTGCTTTAAAATTGAAATATCGTGGAAAATATCCTTAGCTTTAAGTTTTATTATAGGTCATTTCACTTTAAAATTAAGGCTAAAAACAAAATATTGTATCTGCCGAATACACATTTGTTGTAAGTACTGCACGTGAGTCAGACAGAGAAAACAAATAGTGCGCTGACATCCTCTTAAATTAATGAATATAGATTATAAAATATTTTAATCGGTTAACAAAATTCAATGTACTATTTAGTATACACTATATAATAACGACGAGAAGGTCACAATCCAATATTTTTTCTTTGGACGACAAAATGATTGATTAATATTTAAAAATCAGTTGAATAAAATACATTTTTAAAAAAATATTTAACATACATATTTTATTGAGAAAATTATTATGAAAATAGAATACAAAAATTTCTATTACAGTGTTAAGATGAACACAAAAACTTTTCACTGTAATGCATGTAAGTAAAGAAAACTAACACTTAGCTATTATAAATTTATTTGCATTGTTTTTGTTTACAATTATTATTTTAGTTATTCTCAATGAAATATTATAAATGTATAAATTATTGAATTAATATAAGCCACATTGCCAACTAGACACTATTAATCAAGCACTAATCGAGTACTAACATACATTATCATTAATGCTGGAGGATCTACATTCAATATTAACATAATGAAGTCAATGTTTTTTTTTACTTAAATATATTTATGAACTCACTCGACAAGTAGAAAGTAACGTTTATATACAAATAGAAAATCGATTGAAAATATTAGTATTAATGACAAATTAAATCATTATATATCATTCTTTATTGAATAAAGTTAAAACAATCATTGTGAATAGTATTATGATCATTTAATCGTCTATAAGAGTAAAATTATTAAGATTGTAAAACATTAACTTTTATTCTGAAGAAAAATTAATAATATAATACTTTAAAAATGTGATAATTTCAGCACACATAAATCTATAATAATACCCATAAATACAGTGCGAAAATCAACTTGATTTGTCACTAACCTAGATACAAAACCATTTCTTAACAAACAATGCTTATTAAACTCACAATTCAAAATCTAATAATAATCAGGGATTATTATACAGATTTCCCGGTGGCCTGACCTGATTTTCGTGTCCATAGCCTGACTGCGTCTAGAAATAAAACATTTTTTTTTTGGTTAATTCTTCCTATAGCCTACTTAAACAATTTACAGGCCTCAAATATAGCTTCGGTTCGCCGCTAATAATAATTAATAACAGGTACCTATACTATGTACTTTATACAGTGCCCGTTATTCAAAAATGTAATGCAAGTATGATTTATATGTATTTAGGTACGTAAAATAGAATATTAAGCGGTTTATACAATTACAACATAAAAATTATTATTAAGTTTATATATTATTTCATTTAACTACTATCAAAATGTAATACAAAATATCCAGAAAGAATGTATATTTGTTTAATATGATACCGAAATAGACAAGGGAGACACCATAGGCATTATGTCTTAATGAAAATAGTAAATACACACAAAACTTCTAAAAATAAATATTATATTTTGATTATAAACATAAATGTAGGTTAAAAAACATGACAATTAAAAAAAAAATGTATCAAAATGAGTAATCAATCAAAATGTAATCAGTTTATCACACACGCTAAAAATATTATACTACATGTTTACATTCAATAACAAACAAATAAACTATAATTATTTTTGTAAACCATGCAATTTAATTGATGTCTACTTTTAATCAAAACTTCTCTCCTTCATTCGTATATTAAAATTAGAAATTGATAATAGTGCTGATAAATTTCAAAAGACGATCTAATTTTTACTGAATTCATCATACGAACACCATTGTTCCTTCAATTCTTCGTGGGGATTAAGTGTAACATAATATCTACCATAAAAGCACATTCTATTTTATTCTGTAATATCATAGGTTAATTATATTTAATCTGTGGGCTGTGGCACAATGCTAGTATTCTATGTACATATATGCCAGTATTATATTATGTTCATACTAGTATTTATATAACATAAATATCTATAATGTATACGACATTAATCACACATGACACATATACCCTTGAGAATAAAACTAAGTACCCATACCTACCTAAATATAATATTTTTATAGTAAAAAACATAAAAATATAAATATCAACGCATTGTTATTATCATTATTATCAAACATCAATTTTTAAATTATTCTTAATTATTAATTATTTATTTATTTATATTCAAACATTACTCATAACCCAATGTTTCCGATGTTCATCTCACATTTTAATATTCACTCATCGCTTATGACTATACGTCAAACAACTATAGTTAAGACGGTTGTTTACGTCTCTTCTGATGTTGTTATATTTTTTTTTCGAATTGCTAGATACATCATACCATCGTGCATTGTGTTTACATTATGGTGCAACGAATACAACCAGGATGCTTCATGACTACACCTGTCCGGCTTTTGCGAAATATATTTCATCTGTTATTGAGAATAATATTATATTATGTATATAATAAGCATACCACTAAAGTTTCAAAGATCATCATTATTATTATTCAAATGGAAAGTATTCGTCAATCGAACGAAATCAAATAATACTTATCAATCGATTTCGTTAGCTGCATGCCTATAATAGTGCCTACATGTGAGACGACAACGGTGTCGAACAAAATACATCACATAAAATAATATTTAGTTTGATCATTTTCAATACTTGTTCTGCGTATAAACTCCCCCTTTTTATCTAAGTGATGATTGAAAGCAATTTCCGGTCGTTTTATGTACGGCACAATAAAATGTTAATAAATTGTTACGAATTACAACACTGATACTATAAAATAAGCCACTCTTGTTATTATTTGTACATTTTCCCACACGCGTGTAGAAGCAACAAAGGGGGAGAATGCTGAGGTACTCTAATTGTCTTCAAGCGACGCGATTTGTATTTACAGCTAATTAGCTATTCGTTACAAAACCTACAAAATGATTATACATTTATATAACACGAAATTTTTGAATTTGTAAATAATAAATACTCAAAAAAAAAATTATTATAAAAATTTGTACCTTGAATATTAAGAATAAAAAAGTGAATAATTTAAATTAATACTGCTTTTAAATAAGCACAATAGTAAATTCGACCAAAATATGTAATCAATGCTCAGCTTAGAATCTAAAAATATACATAGTATATTATAATAGTATAGCACAAATATACAGGTTGATCAAGCATGCTAACAACTCCCTATTTTAATTACTAATCTGACATGCTAATAATAATCATACAGTACATTCAATAAAACTTGCCATTTTCAATAATTTATAAAATTAATTATATTTTCTTAAAAATTTAAAAATTTAAGACATTAAGCTTTAGCAAATAATTAAAATGATTTGTGTAAAACCTTTATGAGTGATATGTGTGAATCACGGCACAGTATATTACTGGATGTTTTAAACATAATACATAGAAACCCTGATTAAATGAAATCGTTTGATCGCTCACCCTCTATTTTCTTTGTATGAAATTCCAGACGTTCTCCTTACCACCCACTTAACTGTTCATAAGCCAATATATTTCTTAATGCCAAAATTTTCAAAGCCTATTCATTGGATTTTCTTTTTCAACTTTTTCCTCTATCAATCAATAAAATGCAATTTAAAAACCATCAGCATTCTCATTGATTTCATTCCAAAACATATTTTTTTAAATTTTATATACATTTATTAAATATTAATACACAAATAAGATATACCTACATAGTACATAATATTTTATACATCATATACAATTAACATTTTTATACACTCAAATAATCAAATCAACCAATCATATAAAGTGTAGCTGTGTAGATACTCAATATTTTGTATATGGTAGGTTGAAATATAATTTATATTATACCTAATATAATATTATTAGTTATTACATTTCTCTATTACTGACATATGTTTTTCTAACAAACAAAAAATTCAAAAAATATTTCCTTGTTCGATATTACATAAAGTGTGTACCAAAACTACACTTATAAGTAGATACATAATTGTATTATCAGACAAAGCATAAATAAATAAGCATATCACATTGATAATAATTTAAAGTATACAACAATACGCGGAGGTCAAACGAGTTTTACTTGAACGGAACAGATGAATAATTTT